AAAAAAATGTCTAGATGAGCGAAGGTGTCATAGTCAACAATTAAACGCGATCAGATTCGAAAAGATGGTGTCGGATAAACCATCTCCAGCCGACCTTTTCCACGAACTTAACGAAGCTCCATTTACACCTGGAGACAGGTGGATGGCCAATTGGAAAACGGTGATGTAAGATCTATCCAATTGACAAGGAGCCGATCGCAAAAACCCTATAAAAACGCAAAATTCAAGGACATAGAGACTTCCACTTGATTTCCACTTCCACCAAGACTTCCATCAAAACTTCTGTTGTGTTCGTGTATCTCCATCTTTCGTGCATCGACTTTCGAGACATCGAACTTTTTTTTCTCCTCAACACTGTCCAGGGGCCCCTACGACGACGCACCGGATCACCGCCGAAATTCTCAACAACGCAAGACCAGCACCGAAGCCTAAAAATTGTGTAAGCATATTCGTCCGAAATAAACGGTTTACTTTTGTAAAACACTTGTCTTTGCTGCCTTTACAAACCGCCACCCACATACGCTAAGACCTTAGACCATCCCGACGGTAGGGAATAAAAATCTCCCCCAATCGGCGTTCTTACACTATGGATGTCTGCCCTTGCCGATTAAATACGGACAACCGTTTAACTGAAGTAAAACGGTTGTCCGTATTTAATCAGCAAATTTTTTTTTTTTTTTTTTTTTTTCAAAATTCGCAAGTTTTGAATGCTAAGTGAATTTAAAGTCCTTGGATATGGCACCAAATTTAAATTCAGATGTTCTTACTAGAGTAATGAATTTATAAAAGATTGCTGGTGAGTGCTCCAGAAAATTTTCTTTTTTTGCCCATAGTTAACGAGCTACTGACAATAAATATTGTAGTATCTCGAGGAATCCAGATTCGAATCAGATCCGGACGATCCGGACTTCCATAATTTACGATGTAAACTTTCGCTCGTGTTGAGCTCATATAAATATATTATATATTCATAATAACGGCACAAAATTAAATAATTAATTTTTGATCATTACATCGATAAGTTTCGTATTAAATTAAGTTTTAAATAAAACAAATTAACACTTTTACTCGGCAGGTGGCGAAATGAAGATTAATAGTCGTCTGCTTTTTTGGAAGGAGAATGATAACAATGAATGGAAAATTATAAAATAAAATCAGAAATTGTTTAATAAGTCGGATAATTTTATTATTTTTATATATTTATTATCTCAAAATACATTTCAATAAATTTATTTAAGTTATAAACATATAAATGTAAATATACACTACAATCTTGTTAATCCGGCATCTCGATTACCTTGCATATCTCACAGTGTACAGTGGACTCTCAGTTAACTGACACTCGTAAAGATTGTCGGATAAATATAATTTATGGTTGCTGAGAGTTAATATTAATAATAAACATAATACAAATACCCACATTATACAATATCCTATACAATGTTAGTTATCCGGCATTGTCGCTAATCTGGCACATATCTGCGAGAAAATGGCCGGATAAGCAAGAGTCTATCTAGTGCAGGAGTGGCGAATTTTTTTGAACCCGCGTTAACGCGTAAAATAAGAATATTGACTATTTCTGTTGTCACTATGACTATATATTGATATATGACTTTTTTATTGTTTGATCTTTGATCAACTTTTGTAGCTCTTTGCCCTAATGAAATGTGCCACTTTGGGCGCGCTTGTCGTAGGTTCGCCACTCTTGGTCTAGTATATTTGTGTCTTTATATAAATGACACTATTAAATTATTTATAAATTCAAATCAATTATACTGAAAAATTTTTCTGCATTTAACGTTTATACAATTTTAAAACGTAATGTTTAATCTATAGGTCTACTATATAAACACTTTCATAAATTTAAAGATACACACTGTTTATTTACTATTGAACACAAGACTGTGTTATTATTAAAACACTTGGCGTTTATCCACTTTATTCAGTTGATACGGGCACTTTTACACGTTTCGGGCATATAGACCCTCATCAGTCAACATTAAAAATGCAATGACACTCGTACAGCACAAGTTATTATTCACTGCTGTTTATGATATCAAAGTTATCAACTTATCCTAACAGCAGTGAATAATAACTTGTGCTGTACGAGTGTCATTGCATTTTTAATGTTGACTGATGAGGGGTTATACGCCCGAAACGTGTAAAAGTGTCCGTATCAACTGAATAAAGTGGATAAACGCCAAGTGTTTTAATAATAACACAGTCTTGTGTTCAATAGTAAATAAATACGAAAACACAATTTCAAAAAAACGAATCATACACACTGTTTATGTTCACACTATTTATGTTTTCAATATGTAAGATTCTAAGTTTCTCGTTCTTTCTTGTTCCTCTCCATGTCTTTCTTCATTCGCTCTCTGTTCTACTCTCACTTCCTCAGCAGTTTACACATGAATATACTCAAACACCAATTTGCTGAGCTTATTATTTATTTCGAATGCAGAACGGTAATGTCTTGCGGATGGCCTGAAAACGTTTGAACAGTAAATAAATAACACGCTCTCTGTTCATTTATCCTTTGTCTTTCCTCAATCGCACGCTCTTTCTACTCAATCATCATCTCTCTTTCCTCAATTTCACGCTCTTTCTGATCATTCATCCTCAAGACATTACCGTTCTACATTCGAACACAAAACTTTCGAATAAATTTTAAAATTTATTCGAAAGTTTTGTGTTCGAATGTAGAACGGTAGTAGGCTGAAAACGTTTGAACAGTAAATAAATAATACGCTCTCTGTTCATTTATCCTTTGTCTTTCCTCAATCGCACGCTCTTTAGAAGAAGGCTGAAAACGTTTGAACACGCTGAAAACGTAGGGTGAACACGCTTTTCAGAAGTAGGCTGAAAACGTTTGAACAGTAAATAAATAATACGCTCTCTGTTCATTTATCCTTTGTCTTTCCTCAATCGCACGCTTTCCCTGCTCATTCATCCTTTGTTTTTTTTCAATCTTCCTTTCTCTTATTTCATTTGCCCGCTCTCTTTGTTCAATCTCATATTGTTCACCCGCTCTTTCTCTTTCACTCGCTCCTTGTACTGTACATCCGCTCTTTCACCATGCATTCTTTCTTCATCTTCACTTTCTGACATTCTAGTTTCTTGTATTTTTGTTCTTATTATTTGACGTCTTAACTGATTTCTCTCCCTGTTTTTTCTTAACCTTTCCTCTCTGTTGTCATGTCTCATTATTCCTTCTTCGTTCCCGCTCTCTATTCTTTTCTCTCTCTCTTTCAAATTTCTCTAAAAGTTCCATCTTTTTCTGTCAGTATTAATGAGATTTTACAATTGATTAGTATTGATAAAGTTTGGAATATTTTTTAAATAAAAAAAGTTGTATCTAAGCAATT